GATAGGAAGAATCACAAGAATGCAAGGATTACATCCTTATCATTTTAAACGGGTGCAGCATTTAACGGAGGCAGATTTTTTACCACGAATCGAGTTTTACCAGTGAATATTAATAAATGAAAACACTATTCCTAGAATATTATGGTCAGATGAGTCAATATTTACTATTAATGGTGGATCCAAAAGTTGTTCGCCGTACAAATTTCCAACAGATTTTCATTGAACTTATGGGCAGGAGTAATTGGGGATCAAGTAATTTGGCATATTGTACTTCCCAATCGTCTTAATTCATAGGTGTATCTGAACTTTCTTCAGAATGAGCTCATGGATATAATACCATTGGATGTGCGCCAGCAATTTCAAGAAGATATGTTTTTTCAACATGATGGCGCCCCTGCACATTTTGGACGCAATGTTCGAAATTGGTTGAATGTCAATCTTCCAGACAGGTGGTTAGGCCGAGGAGGTCCTATAGCGTTGCCGCCACGTTCACCTGACCTAAATCCATTGGATTTCTATTTTTGGGGGTCATTAAAAGAACTAGTTTACTCGACTGAAGTAAATACTCAGGAAGATTTACTCCAAAGAATCCATCAGGGTGCAAATGAAATAAGAAGAAAAAGGTTTTCCACTTTTTGGGGCTACGCAATCATTAGTTCGTCGAGCGAGACTCTGTATCCAACAAAATGGGAATTTGTTTGAACACTTATTGTAAAGCTAGTTTTAAGTATATCCAACTGTATGTCTTCTTTTTTAAACAAATTTCAATTTCGTTCGTAGAAAAAAATTATTTCTTGTGTTTTTGCCTAAATGTTCGCTATGTTGCAATAGAAATATGTATTTATGTAATAGTTACCAGTTATTAAATTAGTTTTTTCGTTGCCGTGGCTAATTATTCAACAATTCATTTAAATTCGCAGTACTTTTCCTATCATGTGACAAATTTTTTAGCTTGATTTTATTCAAAAATGGCACAATTTATCCATATTCAATAAGAGTACCTTTTTTATGTGTTTTATGAGTCCGTCCCTGTTACATACGCTTCCAAACAAAACTGTCTAAAATTGTTAATATTTTTAAATCCTGCATAAAAAACTAGGCTAGAATACCAAATTTTATGTCTTTATCTCAACACGTTTCGGAAATATTAAGGAAAAACCATCTTCAGGGGAGCCCCTTTAAAAGACCGTAGCGCCCTTAAGGAACGTTTGTTGACCTATGTTTATATAAACTTTTAAGCTCTAGAAACCGCGGGTAGAATATTGCACACTTTTTTTGGGACACCCTGTATATGAACACACATGTGACTACATCGCAATCTACGAGGCACTAACCTTTTTAAGGTATATATAGTAAATAGAGAAGCAGTTGTGACAAACTCTTATAAAGGATGGGTAATCAGTTCGAAATACTTCCATGCTCAACATATTGACAGATATATTGTGTCAAACTTCCGCTGTGAGCAATGGATCGTTTTAGTCTTGAACACAGGTGGGAAATATTGAAAAACTATTTTCAAAGTGAGTTTTGCAGAAACTTCGCGAAAATTGAGAAGACTATTTGGTCGGAATGAAGCTCCGTCCGCGACTGGTATACGAAAATTCGTGAAGAAGGCCTGTTTGTGGATAACAGAAGGTATGAGAGTGTTCGACCCGTACGTACAGCCGAAAACATTGCTCCTATTCCCCAGAGTGTGCGTGAAAACGCAAGAATTTCAACTCATCATACAGCACAACAAGTGGGCATCAGTCGCACTTCTATGTGGAGAATATTGCATAATGACCTGGGATTATTTCCTTACAAGGTGCAACTTGTGCAAGAGTTGAAACGAAATGACCATCCGCTTCGATATCGTTTCTCTGTGTGGGCTCTAAATCAATTGGAAACGGACGTCAATTTTAGTCGCCAAACCACCTTTTCGGACGAAGCCCATTTCCCTCTGGGAAGTTAGGAGGTTACGTTAACAGGCAGAACTGTAGGATTTCGGGTTGTGAAAATCCGCATATCGTCATAGAAAAACCAGTGCATCCAAAAAGGGTGACTGTTTGGTGTGGCTTTTGGAGCGGTGGGATTATTGGTCCCTACTTTTTTCAAGTTGAAGATGGTAGCAGCGTGACGGTGAACGGGGAACGCTATTGAGGAGCTTGAGGAGGTTTTTGTGGCCACTGTTAGAAGACATGCACTTGCACAATCTATGGTTCCAGCAGGATGGCACAACATGCCACACCAGCCGTGAAACAATCGATATTTTACACACTAAGTTCGGTCATCGTGTTATCAGCCGTTTTGGCATTGGCCAACCTGCAGCTGTAATTTGACGCCCATGGACTACTTCCTATGGGATACTGTTAAGGACCGCTGTTACACTAACGATCCTCAAACAGTAGACACTCTCAAGGAAAATATCCGTCGAGCTATTAGTGAACTAGATCCACAAACTATCGAAAATGTGCTCCAAAATTGGGTTAAGGGGATGGACTACTACTACCAGGCCAGCCGCGGCAACCATTTAACTGAAATTGTTTTTCATAAATAATCGGAAGGTGTATTCCTTTGAATAAAGTATCGAGTGAAGCATATTATTGTAGAGTGTAGTGTATATACCAATTTAAAGAAAAACCAACGAATGCCCACCCTTTAGATGACGCTACGGTATATCATTTTATCTCGGATAATTTTTTGGTTGCAGGTATATAGCATTAGATTGGCTATTTTTATGGCTTGAATTAACAATTTACTTCAGAGATGGCATTAGTGGCGGTCATTTACAGTTTCTGTGGCGTAAGCTGTAAGTTCTATTCTAGAGCCAGACGGAAACACCGCATTACACAGTAATGATGCTTACGTTGGTACTTGTCTCAAATGCACTGTTTTGGGCAGGAGTCTACGCAAAGCTAGAAGTTAGTTTCAGTTCTAAAAAATCAGTAAAAATCAGTATATTTAAGTGGCTGAAGATAAGGGGTTGCCTCAGTTAATAAAAGAACCATTTTTTCATCTTTTGCTGTCTCAGTGCATTGCGACACGTACTTAATCTTATCAAGCCCTCAGTCATCTTTACCTTGAATCTTTGACATCTATGGCTGTAAAAGTCTCCATGGCCACATGGCAGAAATAATAATAACCGTCTTAATTATTGACATAAGACATTGACAAAATGGTAAGTGAACATAAGTACATCCAGTGTCAATAAAAGGCGAAGTTCAGTTTGATTAGTTCACAGTACCAACAACCTGCTCTTCCACTTAAAATAAAATCACCGACATCCCACTCAATCCTAACCTCTCCAAGGCACAGAACCATTAGCAGCGTCCCATATAATATACGTACAAAATATGGATTTTCAGCTTCTTCACATATTTAATATCTGTCTGCAGTCGACAGCCCTTTCCACAAAAAGGCCAAATTGCTTCTCCACTTGTCATTATAATCGCTCTCCGAAATCCTCAGCATCTGTTCGATATATTCACAAAGATCACACCCTAATGGCTTTTTAATATCATAATTTCATGGGCCACTAGCGGCTGTTCAACAACCGCGATGCTGGAATGGATGTAGCTGGTTCAATTTTATTAAGGGGATGCTCTTGTTTTTGATAACCAACTACCCCGGCAAGGGAATAATAAATTTTCCTAAAACATCACTAAGATTCTATATTAGTGACTGAAAACTTGGATTACGGTAATTGAAATACTGCTATTTAGCCTAACAAAGAGTTCTAGATCCTGCGGTAGGCAGGGATCAAAAAAGAATTGAAAAGCTCTTGGATTTATGATTTTTTTGTCACTGTTACTTGAATAGCATGTATAGGAAAAAGTTCTTGAGACAATTTTGTAGCGAAGTACAAACAAGTGTTTCTTCTAACGCAAAGTTGGGTATTTGGTATATGAATATTTTGTTAACGTGTCATTTTGAATAATTTTGTCAAGAGCATGGCGATTCCTCTTTTGTGGCCACAACTTGAGGATAAGGGGGAAGGGGAGGGATGGGAGTTGAGTAAGCCTATTTTTAGAGAAATTTCCTTTCCAAATAATCCAGTGTCTCTAAGCTCTACTCGAATGTTCATGTCACGTCAATCACGCACAAAAAACTTGAAAAAACCGCCATTGGAAGCTACAATTCAATGTCTTCAAGCTCAAAGGTTGCGATTCTGCCAGAGTGCTAGAGAGGCTGACCGTTGCCAGCTTCTTAAACTGGCAACTAAACTTCGGGGAACATTACCGATTCCAACTTGCATGTTTTACTGTATTTTAAGGATTGTTGGCATTCTTACCTGTGCGACATGTACAATTTGGATAGGCGCAATCTTTCCAAAGACTACTATTGCTACTGCTAGGAAGTAATGGCTATAAAAGGTCGAACTTTGCTGTGGTGTATTTTCTTTCCTAAAAAGTAAATAGTTTGGCTCTCAGCATAGCAATTCTACAATGAATATAAAATTTAAAAGGATGTATGTCCTAAAACAGAACTTGACCTAAAATAATTTGCTCATTTTTAAATACATTTTCCGCAAGATGATTTTTTAGAAACAATTTAAATTTGTTCACGTTAAAACTTAGATTCTTCTTTACATCTTGTGTAATTTTTTATTTACGATGTTCGGTAACTTGATCAACAAATCACTCTATCAATTAGATGGCCAGTAGAGGAAAGGTGCCTAATATGAGATACATTTTGGTCTGATTACCAAATTGAGCCATATTTCCTATTATTATTGTGAAAACCTAGTGAAGCAAGTTCTTTGAAGTGTTTATAACTTACTTTCCTTAGCGATAAATAAAAAAAATATATTAGAATTTTAATATTCTTGCGATTAGTTAAAAATGCATTTTATACATTTTCGATTTTGGGGCTCCTAATATGAGATAGTAAAGGTTCCTAATATGAGATGGTCTCATATTAGGAACCAATTAAATACATGTTTTTATTTATGCATATTTTATTGAAAAAAGGTTATCCTTCACAGCTGCACAAAACAAAAGTTAACAAAATATACTTTAAGATTAATTTGCTTTAGCCAAACAAGAGTCTTTTTTTGCCTTTGCCTTGTTTTTCACAAAGTGGACAAGTGAATGTATTGCCACTGACTTCTCCACATTCTTCGTGAGTCTAGCGAAAGCACATGGTACACTGAGTCCATTTTTGTCTATGTATATCTTCCGAATATCGTCCCCGACAAAATTGACATTCTGAGTCATCATTATCTTCTTCGCTAGAATCATTGTATTCAATTTCCGAGTCCTCTGACTCCGAACTGCTTACCACTGGTACTCTTTTCTTCGATATTTTTTCTTTTCCCTCCTTAATATTTAATTTGTTTTGACCAGCATCTGTTTTTTCTTCCTCTTTTTTTCAGCTTCTTCTAAAAGGATTTTATATGGATGTTGACGTAATGAGGCTTGCTGAGCCCTTTCTTCTCCCGGAATTATTGGTCCCCGAAGTTGATGGTACCGGCTGAATATCTTGGGGAGACACCAACAGTGGCTTAGTGGGAGGAACTAAATGAGGAGCGACAGTTACATCATTATTTCTTGTTTCGTTGTCCTCAGATTCCATATTACCGTTTACCTTGTTTTCAATGAAATCAACTTCATTAAACAAATTTCTGTTGCAGGGAAACAAACCTGTTTTTCTGAATGCGTTGATTGACACATCCATAGAAGCTGTTTTGTTGTAAGCTTTTCCAAGTAATGAAGAAATATTATTATTTGTTACTGGTTTTCCAGGATTGTTTCTAAGAAAGGTTTCGATTTCCTGCGCGTAGTATGTTTTTAAAGGTGCCATGAAGCCTACATCAAGAGGCTGCATTTTATCTGTTGCGTAGTGAGGTAAGCAGACAACAGATACATGGTTTTGCCTGGCCATGTCTATTATTTCAATATTCCTGGTATGTGAGTAGTGGCCATCCAGTATCAATAAAACAGGATCATCTTTTGTTGGTTCAGTAAACTTAATAAAGTGTGCAAACCACTGCGTAAAAATATGCGTTTGGATCCACCCAGATGGATGACAAGCCCAAATAGACCCAACAGGTGCACCCTCCATCAAGTGTTCAGACATATTTTTCTCGGAAATATTAGAAGAGGAGGAACATATGTACCAACGGCGTTCATACATGTGACGACTGTAATTAGTTTTCCCCTTTCCATGGACGTTATTGCACAAACTTGCTTTTTTCCTTTTAAACCCAAAACTTTACTTTATTTGTGTTGGACTACTGTTATTCCAGTTTCGTCGACATTAAATAGTCTGTGGGGTGAATAATGAATTTTTTCTAATTATTTTTTGTAAATGTCGAAAAATTGCGTAACACTTTCAGCATTAAATCCTTTTACTCTTGCTGCAGATATTGCTTGGGGAGTATAGACGGATAACTCAGGATGTCTTGCCAAAAATCCTCTTAGCCACTTTTTCCCCGCACTTCCTGTTCTTTGACTAAAAGGATGTCGTAGTCCATTTCGAATGGCTAACTGAAATGCCATGTGTTTAACGTCTTGCCTTCTCAATCCATAGAACTTTTTTTCCATTTGTATGCAATATTCCGCCAGCATCTTTTCCATTTCACAAGTCAAAGCTGGCTTTCTACCCAAACTGGTAGATACCAACTCATGTACACTTCTTGCATCCTTTACATACATTTCAATAGTCCCTGAAAAAACAAAAACTTTAATTAGAACAGTATATTTTAAAAAGTTAAAATTTATTTACCTTTTGGAACTTGAAATATTTGAGAGGCCTTTTGGTATCCCATTTCCTTATTTTTAACTGCTTGAACAGCCCTAACCATGGCTTCCTTGTCCCATTGTTTACGTTTTATTCCTTGCTTAGGCATCTAATTAAAAACATAAAAACTTTAATAGGAACAGTTACTGGAATTTGGGCCTGAAAATAATTGGGTTCGTAATATGAGATACCTCATATTGCGAACCTCTAGGTGTCACATAGTCCAAACGTTCATTTTACAAAAAGTGAATTTTAATAATAAAAAAATCAAATCAAATTAAGAAATGTAGCATAAAAGATTGTCGTATACGTAAATAGTAGACTGAGTAAAATTAAAACGTCATTAGTTTACCTTCTGGATTACAGCTACACGAAACACAGAGCACTTAAAAAAAGTCCTTCACTGACAACAGCACAAAACAAACTGCACGCGGTTTCACTTGTCATCAAATATAGAACTAGGTTATATATAATAAGGTTTGTGTCCATGCTTAACGTCTGGCATGACTACACTTAGATGGCAACACGTATTATGGAAGATATTCAGCTATCTCAAATTAGGAACCTATCTCATATTAGGCGCCTTTCCTCTATACCAGCATTTGGGCATGGCTTAATGATTGTTCTACGGGTATTTATCTTGTAAACGAAGGTAGATATGAAACTATCGTAGAGGCAAGTTTTGTAGCTTATACATCGAGCTGCAAATATATAGAGAAATTTTCTATAATCATATTTGAAAAAAATCAAGACTAGAAAAGTTTTTAAAAAAATGTTCAGGCCCTGCCACTCACTGGATCCGAATATTGTCACCCTAAGCAACAATATTTCAATAACCTAAGTCCAAGTTTCCGTCCATTATAGAATTTCTGTCAGGTCAAAAGAGCTAATTTACTGGGTTAAATACGCGGGAATAGAGTAAAACTGGATAGGGACATAACTGCATAGCAATCTACTTGACAGATGGCATATAAGATTATTGTAGTTTTCAATCCGAATGTGTTTAATAACATTAAAAATGAGATCTTCATAAAAATTGCACAGCTCTTCATTATTGGAAAACCTTGAGATCATCTACGTAGCAGATTTCCGATCCATCTGTCATGACTATTTGATGTCCGTTTTCTCATAACAAACGACTCCATTGCCATTTTAGTTCTCTATTTTACGAACAGATAAATTTCTACGGCCTCCGAAAAACTCAATCCATCCGCAAAGAGAAATTCTGATGTAAACGGAGCTATTAATTAAAAACGTTATCTCATGTCATCTGAGTGAGCAGATATAAAAACAATGAATGACCTACAAGGAAATAAGTCTGCTCGCGATAAATAATTCAGCCATATTACCATAGATGGCTTTAAGTTAAGCCCAAACACCGTGAATTTAATACAATATATCGTATTCATCGCAAAAGCGCATACATCCTGACTACGAGTGCATTCAATTGTTTACTGTATATAATGAAAACCACTACCTAGTGCGTAATTTACAATGATAGATTGATATGGTTGTGTGCTGATTAGTCGAGAAAGCTCAGTCAAAACAAAGAGAACAGACACTAAGTCCATTTTATCATGATGACATATGTAATCCTGTACGGATGGATGTAAAGCGGCTACAATTACACCAGGAAGACCAATTGGAACTAAGTGTCAATATGCGCTTTACTCTTACAGCAACATTCAAAGTCCTAATCCATGGAACCATGAGAAATGAACGGAGGGCCAAATAGGTGAGAGGGTTCATTGAACAAGGTCACTACTGACAGAAGATATGTGAAAGCACGAAGGCCATGGGGACAAAATAGGCTCTATCAGCTAAGACCATGCTAATTCTAACCGATCTACATATTTTAGTCGTAAACCTTCAGTACTGTTATGAAAAGACAAGTACAGATGTACTTATTTTTTTCTTTTAGTTACCAAGGTCCTTGTTAGAAAGAAACAGAGAAAATGACTATAGCATACAATTAAGAAGGACAGATTTTCTGTATTAAAATCCAGTATTTACGTTGTTGCTGTAGTATCCTGTCATTGACTGGGCAATAATTGGAAACAACTGACGACTGTATTTAATTTAAACTTAATTCCTGATCCCCGTCATCGAAAAAACGGAATAACCATCTCGTTAATTTTAATAAGATTTCGATTGTCTCTGCCTTTGACTTGGTGACGGCTGGTTTTTGTGTCGTTTTTGATTACTGTTATTCTATAAGATTACGGTTTCATGCTCCAGCTGTTGATTAGTAACTGCTATTGGTGGCTAAATTCAGCGCTGGGAAAATGTTATATCAAATGCGAATGTTTGACGAGTAAAGCTTTGGTGATCTGTAAAAAAATAAATTAAATCACAGTTTCATAATACCACTTTAGGTGAGGAAGATTAGAGTACGATTATGGCTGAGCTTCATATACAGAACAAAGATTACTTGTAGCCCAATTACAACGTGCCTTGAATTCAAGCAAATCACCCTAGCCGAAACAATGACGCTGTAAAACCGTTACCATTTAGATAAATATGAATGTGTATATGCTGTATCAATAAAATGGAAGCTGACGAAATTGTCTACAAAGATAACAGTTCACAATACTCATTTAGGTTTTCCAAATACTTGGTGCTGAAGGCTCTTTGAGAACAACATTGGTTGAATGATGAAAAGCTATTTGGCTATAACTATGACAACTATAGCCCAGCTATAATAACAATATCGCAGCATATGGTATGAGGTTAATTGACGTTCCTAGGACGTCAGTAGTGTTGCAATACATTGAAATTTATTATTTAGTAGATTCAGTGAGAAATATGATACTAACTTGACGTTCACGTTACCTGAGAAAATAAATATAAACATTTTATTCTTTATAAAGCTTTTTATAAATGTGGACAAAAAAATAAATTCCGCCTTTAATATAGCTGTAAATTACCGATTTAAAAATTCCTAATCTCATTCATCTAATCTATGAGAAAGAATTCATTCACACATACTTTTTAATTAACCACAAGACAATGCGCCTATATATCAGAAGATCAGATCTAAATACGGTTAAGCATTATAACAGACCAAAGGCTTGTTTGTGCTTTTCGCCGTTTATATTTTTTATAACTATAAATATGGCAGATATGGTATCTTGTTAATTTTGAATTTATTATGTTATTGTTCCTTCTTTCAGCGTTTACAAGAATAACCATTAATCAGGTAGTCATGGTAACGGAGAGTGTTTTAAAGATAAATTATTTATTCATCGATTATTTTTAATTTATTGATTTCGTCATGAACTATCCGACCATTTCAAAATTCATTTGTCCATCGTAGATATTATACAGGGTGGTCCATAAGTCCTTTGAAATTTCAAATTTGAATAAAATTTAACGGGTGAGCGTGAGCGGCGCGGGCGAGGTGGGGGCAGTATCTTCAGTGTCTGGGAATTCAGTCGCCATGGAGTGTTTCACTGGAGCGGATCGTGCTATTTGTGTGCGCGCGTTTTATCAAAATAATGATTCGGCAACCATTGCGCGGCGTAAATATCGAGAATACCACAATTTTACAAAGTGTCCAACAGCTCAAACGATTAAGAACTGGGTTGATAAGTTCGAAGAGACTGGTTCGACGTTAGATAAACAGCGGTGGGGTCGACTAAGGACAACTCGTATTGAAGAAAACATCAACATTGTGGCACAGTCTGTTCGTCAAAATCCTACCCAGTCAACTCGTAAGCGTTCCAGTGCACTAAACGTACCCAGAACATCTTTACAGCGGATTTTAAGGAAAGATTTACGTCTGCACGCTTACAAAATTCAGTTAGTGCAGGAATTAAAAGATAATGACGCTATTCAGAGACTAAACTTTGCGAATGAAATGTTGAATCGATTTTCTTCGCTCAATAATGTGTTGTTCTCGGACGAGGCTCACTTCCATTTAAACGGGCATGTAAATAAACAAAATTGCCGTTATTGGAGCCCCGAAAATCCAAGGCGTAAGCATCAGAAGCCCTTACACAGCCCTAAAGTTACAGTTTGGGCTGCTATGTCAGCGCATGGCATCGTAGTCCCTTATTTTTTTGAGGACGACAGAGGTCGCGCATTAACTGTTACTTCGGAGCGGTATGTAGCAATGATAGAAGAGTTTTTGACACCAGCGTTACAGAATTTTCCAGGCTATAATACGCAGACCTGGTTTCAACAGGACGGAGCAACTGCCCACACCTCCAACACTTCTATGCCCGTCGTCTGTCAACTTTTTCCCAGCAAAGTAATTTCTCGAAGAGGAGCATTTCCTGGCCACCACGTAGTCCAGATTTGACCCCAATGGACTTCTTTTTATGGGGCTACCTCACGAGTAAAGTGTACGACACCACTCCGCGATCAGTTGATGTCCTGAAAGAAAATATCCGAAGAGAAATGGCAAGCATTACAGTGTTGACTTGCCGCGCAGCCATCGACAATTTTAGACGTCGTTTATATGAGTGCCGTGATCGTAATGGATTGCATTTAGACGATGTGATTTTTAAAACATAATTCCCATTCAATAGAGATGATAACAAAATATAATAATTCTTCATAATGTAACTAGTTTGGTTTTATTCCTTTTTTTCCAGCTCAAAGGACTTATGGGCCACCCTGTATTATAAAGGAAATCCAAATGACATGAGATGAAAACACCTCGTATGCTATCCATATCCAAAAGCCTACCCATAACTTGATGATTTTGACCTGTTAACCTGAAAGAATTCTGAAGCACTTGTTCCTAGAAAGTATTTCAATGGTGAATATATTTGGAATGGTGTTGATATTTTTTGGTGTTATACGCATTCATCATGACCACCGCGGAATTTTCGCCTGTATCTCATCTTACCTCTGTCGTCCGTCACCTAATTCTTGACTGGCCTCAACTCGGAAGCCATAAGTCGGACATGGATGATTTGGCTACATTTTATGAATTCCAAACACTACGCTCCAACGTTTTTTGCACTTATTCATCGCCTTTGTATGCGCACATTTTTCTTCTACTTCATTTTTTCTTTAATGATGTACCTACAATGCTACATTTCACTGCGTGCAAAGTTCTGGGTTAAAAAGTGTAATTCTTTTTTTACAATTTTATTTCAG